GGCACTAGAATAAGAATGATGTTGACAGGGGTGCAAATTAATTGAATTTAGGAGGGTGCCATTTCAAGTTGGACCTACTCGCTTCGTATGGACCTTCTTTTCAACACGAATCTAAGAAGATGAACACAGGGACGATGTACTATATTAATTTAGATGGGGCAGTGTTGGTGCTGTGGGGGCAAATCGTACAATTGTCCACTAATAAAATCGAGAATTCGATGGGACTGGTACCTTGGGTACCAGACTCACTCTATATAAAATAAGTATATAAAGTGAGTCCGGTACCCGGGGTATGGGAGTGGGTACATAACCAAGTACTGATATGGTTATGTGCCACCCATGCAACTTGGTTTTTGTCATTGAAAGCTCTTAGCGTAAGCATATTGTTGACAAAATTCTTAACACAGGTGAGTATTAAATTGCCTTGTCACACATTTTTGTTTCTATGAAAATCTGATATGGTTATGTGCCACCCATGCAACTTGGTTTTTGTCATTGAAAGCTCTTAGCGTAAGCATATTGTTGACAAAATTCTTAACACAGGTGAGGTTTAAATTGCCTTGTCACACATTTTTGTTTCTATGAAAATCTGATATGGTTATGTGCCACCCATGCAACTTGGTTTTTGTCATTGAAAGCTCTTAGCGTAAGCATATTGTTGACAAAATTCTTAACACAGGTGAGGTTTAAATTGCCTTGTCACACATTTTTGTTTCTATGAAAATCTGATATGGTTATGTGCCACCCATGCAACTTGGTTTTTGTCATTGAAAGCTCTTAGCGTAAGCATATTGTTGACAAAATTCTTAACACAGGTGAGTATTAAATTGCCTTGTCACACATTTTTGTTTCTATGAAAATCTGATATGGTTATGTGCCACCCATGCAACTTGGTTTTTGTCATTGAAAGCTCTTAGCGTAAGCATATTGTTGACAAAATTCTTAACACAGGTGAGTATTAAATTGCCTTGTCACACATTTTTGTTTCTATGAAAATCTGATATGGTTATGTGCCACCCATGCAACTTGGTTTTTGTCATTGAAAGCTCTTAGCGTAAGCATATTGTTGACAAAATTCTTAACACAGGTGAGGTTTAAATTGCCTTGTCACACATTTTTGTTTCTATGAAAATCTGATATGGTTATGTGCCACCCATGCAACTTGGTTTTTGTCATTGAAAGCTCTTAGCGTAAGCATATTGTTGACAAAATTCTTAACACAGGTGAGTATTAAATTGCCTTGTCACACATTTTTGTTTCTATGAAAATCTGATATGGTTATGTGCCACCCATGCAACTTGGTTTTTGTTTTTTGTCATTGAAAGCTCTTAGCGTAAGCATATTGTTGACAAAATTCTTAACACAGGTGAGTATTAAATTGCCTTGTCACACATTTTTGTTTCTATGAAAATCTGATATGGTTATGTGCCACCCATGCAACTTGGTTTTGTCATTGAAAGCTCTTAGCGTAAGCATATTGTTGACAAAATCTTAACACAGGTGAGTATTAAATTGCCTTGTCACACATTTTGTTTCTATGAAAATCTGTATGGTTATGTGCCACCCATGCAACTTGGTTTTTTGCATTGAAAGCTCTTAGCGTAAGCATATTTGTTGACAAAATTCTTAACACAGGTGAGTATTAATTTGCCTTGTCACACATTTTTTGTTTCTTGAAAATCTGATATGGTTATGTGCCACCATGAACTTTGTTTTTGTCATTGAAAGCTCTTAGCGTAAGCATATTGTTGACAAAATTCTTAACACAGGTGAGTATTAAATTGCCTTGTCACACATTTTTGTTTCTATGAAAATCTGATATGGTTATGTGCCACCCATGCAACTTGGTTTTTGTCATTGAAAGCTCTTAGCGTAAGCATATTGTTGACAAAATTCTTAACACAGGTGAGGTTTCAGTTGCCTTGTCACACATTTTTGTTTCTATGAAAATCATGGCAACTATGGATGGGCCTGTTGTAATATTTTTACTGCCTGGTGAGTCTTAATGTTCCGTGATTGCACAATTATTGAAAGTGAAATGAGGCAAGTAATAATCACAAGAAGCAAAAGCGAATCAAATAATTGTATATTTCAGCGTGTTTTATACATTAAGGCCTAATTTACACAACGCCGGGTTGGGTTCTCCGCTTTGCATTGTCCCTTGAAAATGCCCAATCCGAAGTGATTTTCACTCTGGTGCCTCTTTTCTATGCAAGCAGCCTCTCTTACTTCTTATCTTGTTTACACTTTCTCCAGAACCTAGTTGAACAAGAAAGTCGATACCCAGTTTTTAAAGAACGCTATCGATGATACCTAACGAAAGCCTTTCATTTTCTCTCCATTTGATGAGGCATTTTAGCTAAGAGTATTTTGAATGATTTTTTTCTCAAAGAAGCTCCTTCACCAAAACACCAAAAACTGTTTCTTGCTTGCGCATGTTTTAGAATCCATTATTATATAGATAGGTTTAAAGTTTGAAGGTATATTACATAATACACATCGGTACGTAATTTTCATCGTTTAATTTGTCTTGAATAACTGCGAAAAAAGGCGAGTGGCTGACTAAACAAGGAAAGGTCTTGAGCTCGTGACAAGCAGTGGCCTATATAAAGAGGGCGCCTGGAACACTGATCTATAAAAAGACTGGATCGAGCTTCTAATATGATCAGAGTGTCGCCATCCGAGAAGAGGGCCCCAAAACAGCCGATGCGAGGAGACGGCCTTCTCTGGCACCCCTAGCATTGTTTTCAGCTGCTCTGACCTTGTTCTTTTTCAGCAATCATACACACAGCATTGCAGCTCTCGCATATCCATACCGAGGAATGGCTTCCCGCTATTGTTTGGGGCTCTCTACCTTTTGAAATTGAACGGGCTTCAAACGTAGGTGTTTCAAGACAATGGGAAGCTCGATCCAGTCTTTTTTATAGATAAGTGCCCTGGAACGACCGCCCCCTTTCCACTGATCTGCCCCTTTCAAGCTTGAACAAGCTTTGTGTCAAATTTCATTAAGACCCGACAAATTATTTTTCAGAAGATTTTGTGAAAACAAAGAGTGTCGAGGCATGGCATGTTGTGTAGCATCTAACCTTATTCTAGGTGACAGTTTATCTTATATATAACAGAAGCAGTAGAAATTAGAATGCAAAAATCACAATATGATTACAATTGGATCTAGTCTCTGCTGCTGATCTTTGCATTAAGAAATCAATGCTAAATACAACTGTTAATGACATGTTAGTACCGAGTGAAGGTTCTGAAAAGCAGACTGCCTTGAGCAGAAGACAATATTCACGAAGAGACAGACAGCCTGCGCTCTAGATTTTGGCAAGAAGAATTCGTGAATATGGCACGCGAAGAGTTTCTGGTGTTTTGGGCATATCTCACGGGACCAGGGAAACATCTCTTCTCTGGATAGTGTCTAAAAATGGATATATCAGTAACACAAAGCGAATAAAGAAGATATCAGAGGAACTTTGCGTAAGGTTAGATTAATCAAGGAGGCGAATGGATTTGATTGGATTTTGTCAAGAATAAACAAAGAAGCCCTAGGAGCAGCACCCCAAATATGAGAGCAGTGCTCTATAAAGAAGAATAAATAGATATGAATTGTGAGAATTGCTAAAAGTTGTGCGAATGAGAAGAGCCCACGCGCCCAGAAAGAAACTCAAGCTTAAAAAATGTTCGTTCAGCAATGGAAGAAATATGACGCTTTAAGAAATGACGATAACTGACCCTAAAATCATATTTTTCTATTTAATTGTCCTTTCATAAAACTAGGCCTAAGTTATGTTTTTTTCAGTACTTGGTAACAAGTTTCGGATTTCGTCATCTATTTCGAAAATTCGCTGTAGAGAAGAGTAATTTTATTGTTTCTTAGTTTTATGGCCCTGCTATTGATAGGTGATTAATGATGATGATGATGAAAGTCGATGCCAATTATGATCATGAGATTCGTTGTACAGGGCCGGCGAAACGTATTTGAAAGTGGGGGGCCAAATATGAAGGTCTTGAAAGGGCTTAGGTTAGGCTTACATTTAAGAAAATTTTTAGGACTTTAGGGATGGCCAGAGACAGTATCTAAAATGGAAAATCCGAGGAAAATCCGAGGAAAATCCGAGGAAAATCCGAGGAAAATCCGAGAAAAATCCGAGGAAAATCCAAGGAAAATCCAAGGACTTTTACTGAAGGAAAATCCGAGGCAATATCTTTAAGCTTTGCTTAATCAATATGTACAAGTTCAACAAAAACAGGAGAACTATTAACTAAAATAAAAGCAAATTAATCAATTTGTACACTTGGGATATTTTTTTTGTAACTTCTGATCATAAATATTTCGGAAAAAAAGTGCTTTTAACAAAAATCAAAAAAAGTTTTAATAGAATTTACAATTGCGTCTAGATTTTCTTTCTTGGTAGCAATGGATTATCGATACAATCAAGTGTTGAAGTTTTCTTGATTTTACTTTTTTAGAACAAATCTGCCTATTCTTTTTTTCTCATGTCGTCAAAAATTTTCCCTATCGTCAGTTTCTTTCCCTTCCACATCGCTAGCAATTCCTCTCTTTTTGCAATGTTCCTGAGAAATTTGTTGTTTACAAATAGACCTTGTGAGCCACGTTTAGGCAATAGAAAAAACGAAACTCCGTCAATTTGTGCTGGCACCAAGTTATTCTGGATCAGGTTTCTCGATCTATTTCCTAAGCCAAGCTGTTTCTCGTTGTACAACCTAGACAATGACCGATTTCTTTGATCTTATTTCCCATATTCAAATTTATTTATGTCTTCTATGATAAAGTCATAGCAACCAAGCTAAATCTAAAGGCATATGTAAGGGATTACTAAACACAGTTACTTACGGAATGCTATACTACATTTATTTCCACTTTTGCCTAAAATTTTCCTTTAGCTCTGCAGAAAAGTAGGGGGCCATGGCCCCCCCCCCCGCTTTCGCCGGCCGTGTTGTATTCAGTCTGAGATTTGCAAAAAGGACGGACATGGTTTTGTTGATTAGAAGGTGGCGGCGTTCATGATTTGCTAATTCAATTCAATTAGACAAATATCATCTGGAAATGTAGAACCTTCGCAAATCAGCGCATGTTGTATTTGGAAAGTCTGATGCAGCTGCGGCCTGTCAAACATCTTCCCTGCCAAGTTGTATTTCAAGAAGATTTTCTTAACTGTGTATTCCATGCGATGTCAGGGTTTGCCATTCCAAGTTGACAGATCGACCGCCAAGCTCAAAAATGAAGAGACTCAAATTGCTCGCAACCGATTAAGAAATGGACGTTGCGTTCGAAGACATGATTTTAGTAAGAGTGAAAGTCTGTGAAAAGGGCAAAATGTGAGCATCAGAAGTCAGTTTATGAGAAATTCTACGAAATGCCAGCATTGCGGAAAGAAAAATTTCTTGATGAGTCTACAGCGAATGATAGAGGCCACAAGAATCAGTCTAAGTCATCGTCGGTTGAAACGAAAACCAACCAAACAAGTTTGCCTTTAGAACTTTGGCGAGTTGTATTTTCTTACCTGTCCATCAGAGATCTTTGCAGATGCTGTCAAACTTGTACAGACTGGAATGAGTTAGTGATAAGTTTGGACTCAACAAGATGGAGAGAGCTTTTTCTACAACAAAAGTTCGCTAAACGTTGGAAACATCCGAACTGGCCTAATTCAACTCACATCGATCCAAAATCATGGCGCTCCACTTACAAGATTCATTCACTAGCGGCCCAGCAATGGCTGAAGACGAGTGTAGATGCAAGTTGCACTTTTCATGGCGGAATGCTGAGTTTGTTAAGAGGTCCAAGGCAAAGAAAAGTGATACACGTAGGACCAGGCAGAAAATATTTCACCATAAACAGGGCTCTTTCTGCAGCAAAGCCTTTTGATAGAATTGTTCTAGACGCATGTCATTATCAACAGTTTCCTCTTGCTCTTAAATTCCCGGTGGAAATTGTAGGCACTGGAGATCCAGGAAAAGTTGTTATAACAATGTTGATAGAACATACAGCATCGTCAGCCAGAATCGCTAATGTCATGTTGAAACCGAGTTACCCAAGGCAGAGAGGTAGGGGAGGATCATCATCAGTTTTGATAGAGGTAAGCACTTTCTCACTATACTCTTTTTATTTAAGAAGAAGCTTTGTAAAATGCCCAGGCTTGATATGCCCAAAAGAAAGAAAAATGTTAAAAATGCCCAGCAAGATGAGAAATTAGAAGAAAAAACAGGGCAAGTTTTGTGATCAAATCAACTGTGTTGCCAAAAATGTCACCCAAAATTGTTACTTATTTGGGTGTCTTAGAAATAATGGAGAGTTTGTAGTTTCGGATCATCAGTGTTGGAATAAGTTCAATACAAACATTGTCCCTTAGCAAAAATTATCTGGTTCTTATAGAAAAGATTTCAGTCATGTATTACAAAGGATTCAATATGTCTTCTTTTTATTGCAATGCTAGCAACTACAGAAGGATAGAGAAGGTCTAGGAAATATTATCTAAAAAAAATTGTCTTATGCTATTTCGTTGCTTTTAAACACATATGTCTGTTTCATCATATAATTTTCACAATTCACAAAAGATTCAGACATATTAAAATTTGAGATTTAAGATGTAATAAATGCATAAATGCAAAATGTGGCAATTTAATGGTTGTGTTGTAACATCATACTTTGTTAGGTTCAACTTTTACTTGTCAGGCTGTTCAACCTGGTTTGCAAATGTTGATCCATAAACCACCTTTTATTGATCAAACTGAAATATATTTATCTTTCTAATTAAGTTTTAGTCACTACCTTTTTCGTATCAAGAAATTAAAAAATAGGGAACTACCTAAACTTGGCTACCTTCCATGTAAATCACATATCTAAGACTGTACTGGTAAGAGAATCGTTTATTGAGACGACTTTTACAATCTATTTAATAGTACTGTACATTAACTTGCACTTAGGTATAACATTTATTTTTCCATCCTTCCTGTGTCAAAAAATGAAAAACTTTTCCAGCAGAAGTGAAATTTTTTGGTAACTGATTTATTGACAGCATGGTTCCTTTCATCTCCATTAAACATTGCTTTCAAGCCACAAATTTTAAGTCCTTTTAATAAGTGCAGGGTTTGCTTGACTTAACCTTCATAATCTTTAATAATCATCCTAATATATTTCCTAAGAACCCAATGGCATGTAATTTTGTCATGATCTATGTTGAGAAATTTTCTACAAAGCAGTATTGTTTCGCGTTGCAGAAAATTATAGAATTTCTGGCAGATTGGTAAATGTCAACAAAAGGACTGAAAAGTTAGTCCTGGCATGTTTGGTCACCGGTTTTTGACAAGAAAGTTTTTGTAATTTATTACTCATTTTGAACATAGCCTTCCTGAATTTAGCCACCCCAATGCATTATTGTTTGCAGATTCACAAAACTATTTTAATGAGTTGATTGCAACAGTTCTCTGGTTGTCTATGAAAATTGCTATAATTTTGAGGAAAATATACATGTACCAAAAAAGCAAATGAGATATGGATCTCTTGTTTATGTTTTGGATTATTTTTAGGACACATACTGTTAAGCAATTTCTAAATGGAATTATACAGCAAAAACTCTAAAGAGCTGCACTCTATAATTCTCGTCCAGCAATAAACCATTTAGAAAATGGCATTCATAGCTACCAAAGAGCACAAATTCTCCTTAATCTTATACCCAAGAATAACCAATGGACCAATAGAAGATGTGGCCAATAGAAGATTTGAAGTTTGCTAACAGATTACTGTTATTTTGGCTCAGTTCATAAAGTTATAAACTGAGACCAAACTACAGAGGTTTGATGGGGCCAGAGCTTGTGCTCATCTGATCAATTTGTGATAGCTTCAACTGATTTTGCAGATTTAGAGGTATTTCTTGATGCTCTTTCAGGTTATAGGAAACAATTTCAAAAATTTTAAAGATATATTTTTGTGACATCATCACTTGACAACTCTATTAGTAGGCTTAATTTGAATGATGAGAAAGTTTAAATTGAATTTGGCAGCTTGGAGCTTTGCTTTTAAGTTTGCTTGAATCTGGAACATATTCCTTTTAAGCAATGCTAAGCCATTTGGGCAAACATCTTTTACCAGGGCTAGAGTCTATGTCTTCTGAAGAAATAGTAGACTTAGCACAATAAGACTGCCAGTCTCTCTTTGTGTATTGAGAGTAAGTATATGGTGTGCTGGCTGGTCATATTCTGCTTTAAATGTATGTTTAGGTATACAGATTTTCTTTAATCCTCTAACATGCTTACTGTTTTGAATAACATTTTATTAATTGGTTGTTGTAGGTTCAGGATATTTTGTCATTATGCAGAATAATAGTTGCGTTTTGTTTCTAACTAATATTTCTTTATCTTCCAAAGTTTTTGAAAATATCACTTCACAAATATTATGGTTTCATCAACTAAGGTATACGCAGACTGTGTACAAGTTCAGTTCCTTAGAGTTAACTTGCAGGCAATAAAAAGAGCTGATAAATGACAATATTTTGATATATTCTGGGCTAGATATGTATTATTAAACTGTTAAAAAGTTTTTATCGGCCACTCCAGAGCTTTTGTCACCAATGCTATTGGTGGCTCACAATTGATAAGATATTGGGAAGGTAGGGGGTCAACGTTAGATTTCCAAATGTTCACAGTGTGTCAATGTTGCAGTAATAGTATTCTTAACAAACTACAAGTGATTTCTTGTGATGCCATAGCATTTCATATCCAAATAAAAATCACCCTTGTACGCCGAGAGAACAACAGAAAATGAAAGTTTCAACGAACTCATTTTTTGGGGCTAGCAATTCGACTCCTGGCGCCTGCAAAAAGTTTTTTCGCTTTTATTTAAAGACAAGAGGGTTTACTGCTATCGGTACTTTGCAGAGAGCTGTACCGCCAACCTCAGTGTCTGCTTCTGAACTATCCCCTATAAGAATAGTTTTTCCCTTTCTGGGACGCCCTTAGCCCAGGGACTTCCTTAGCTGTTTGCGACCGTCATTACTGCACGGCGATGTCAGTTTTGTTTCACCATGTTACCTTGGCGTGCGTGTCGGCAATCTTTATGACGTTCACAGCTTTCTTTCATTTATTATTGAGAGTTTAATTTCCATTCGATTGAACAGCGGTACCTGCTCGCCTTAATATCTCTACTGTTTACACCATGATATTTATTGTGAATAAGGGAAGTGAGAAGTTTTTTATTTAGAACAGGTTTTCCTTTACAGCTGCCTAGCTTTCTCAAATCGTGGAAAATCTATTTGACTTTCAAATCCTGCACAAATAATTGTTGATGGAATTTGCCTTTTTTTCGTTTATGTTTTCCTGCTGATTAAAAACGATTGCCAGAGGGACGAATAACTTACAGTTCAATGAAGCTCTTCGCTAGATCATTTATGAAACTTCATTCCCTCGAACAAGGCGAATCGACTACGAATTTTTTCATCTTTAAATTCGGAACAAACGTAGCAATATATGCGACAGGCCTTCTTCAGATGTAACTAGAATGTCCTTAGTAACCTATTCTTTATTTGGTAATCGGCCGCAGAACTACTCTTAATGCTGATGCATATAATGGTTGCAAAGATCAAATTTAATGCTTTTGAGAAGAAATGTCATTCTGTATAGGGTGTATTTACTATCATAATAGAACACAAGTAACTAATTACTTCTTAGAGATATCGTACAATTTTGCAAAAAATCTTGTTGTCTTGATGGAAATCACTCAAAAATCGCCTGAATTGCCCCATTGTATTTCTTAGGAGAGAAACTGCCTTTGATTTCACAAATAAAGAGACAGAAACAGTTGGTTGTAATGGAAACTGCGGTCTTTATTTTCTTCGCTCATTGCTCGTATACATTTTCTTACAGGTAGCATTTGGCCGATAAATATCAGTTGATTTTAAACACAAGCTCTACCAAAATTGATCTACCAAAATTGAATAAAATTGTTTTTGTAGGTTTTTTCTGGGCATCTGCAGCTGGATAACTGCTTGTTTGAGCAAGGGCAAGTTCACGTAAATGCTCCAGCCACTGTCAACATTCGCTATTGCACATTCAACTCTTCACATGTCAGTTTCAAAGGAACTGGGTTCAGTAACGTCAGCAACTGCAAGTTCAAGCCAGACAGGGTTGCTGTTGCTGTTGAGGAACCTAGCCTATCTTTAAAGACACGAATGTTGCATCCATATGTTGGAGGCTGGGTGGAAATGGTTCAAAGTGCAAATTTAAAAGAATATTATAACAGAAAAGTGCGATACAGGAACAGCAAGGCAAAAATGTATAGCGAAAATGAGCTGGGTGTGAGTGCATCTGCAGAAAGCTTCGAGTCGTCAGAAAAGTCATCAGGGACTTTACTGGACACTGAAAATGAAAACGAGACATCTAGAGGGAAAAAAGGAGAGCCCGGATACAGCGACATGATCATAGATAACAATTATGATTGTTTTGATGATGAAACAAAAGGAATATTAAATTCGGTTCGGGGAATCATTTTTACAAACAATAAAATAGAAGGGGGACGTGGTGGTGTTACGGTGAGTAGGCTTGGTCATGCATGGATCGAAGGAAATGTATTCTCTGGCCTTGTTTATGGAATTCGCTGTATGCAGAGTGCAAGGGCTGTCATATTGGCAAACACGATCAGCAACTGCGAGACCTCCGCTATTTTTATGAGAGAGCATTCTAATGGGCTTGTATGTGGCAATCAAATTTTCAGCAACGGTGAAGCGGGCATTGATCTGAGGAGTAACGCGAATCCAATGATACAAAACAACCACATATTCACAGGGAAGCGGTCTGGAATTGTCTGTTTAGACAATGGCAGGGGTATAATTAGAGATAATGACATTTACAACAATAAAGAGGCTGGGGTTTACATATTGTACAAGGGAAACCCGGATGTCATGTAAGTATTGTTACTGTATTTTTACCCGTTATAACCCCCCACACTCCAACACCCATGTTATTGCCACTCCCCAACCCCATTAAAACACTTCTGAGAAAATAGAATGAAACTTGGAAACAAACTGTCAGCTTGTAAGAACGATCGGTTTAAGCGAAGAGCTTCCACAATCTTCAATGATTTTATTCTGCAATTTTCTAGAGTTTTTCGCGAAAGCATCATTCTCTCAATTACAATTTTCCTATCGGACGCAGATATCATGTAATTTTGATATGGGGGGGGGGGGTAAAATCATATTAAGTAGAAATGGATTTTTCAATTTGCTGTCATCTAATTAACCAGCTATGAAAGTATGAAGCTTGAGCTGCGATGAGCCAGCGAACAGAAACTTTAATAATAAGAAGGCGGGGGGGGGGGGGGGGTAGGAATAAAGGAATATTCAGCAGAGAATGAGAAGAAATATCTGATTTTATACCTCCTGAAATGTTGTATTTTGTGAATGAGAGATGTATTCTGTAAAGGGATGACAATGATATGTTTGTTTTGCCAGGTACAACCGCATATGGTCCGGTCGTGCAGCAGGAGTTGCGGTAACGGAGGGCGGCAAGGGGCACATCTCTTACAATGACATTTGCGGCATGGAATGGGCTGGCATTGATATAAGGAATGGCGCAGACCCGGTCGTGTCACATAACAGGATACGGAAAGGTCAGGCGGATGGCATCGTCATTGGGGAAGGCGGCAAGGGCATTTTATACGATAACGACATCGAAGGTGACAGCATTCAAATCCCAAGTTTCGCCTGTCTGACTTTAAAGCTATGTTTAAAGAGCGTTAGCAGTAGTTTCAGCTGAAGAATTTGTTGCGAAGAGAGAAAAGGCTTTTGACGATTGACTTTTTCGCGTGAAATTTGGTCCGTCTTTGTGGCATCACACTAGAATACTAAACTAACAAAGATTTGGTCGTTTGTGTCTAATATTACAATTGTACTTTTTGTAGAGTGTTTAATGATGTCACATGCCATTCACTCCCGTTTTATATGGTCTTTAACTAAATTCTAATGACATTATGTTATTCTATGGCATTTGAATCCACAGTCTAACATTTCGTGTAGCTTTTCAAATTCTCGATAACATATCATATTCCTGCTGCTTATGCATTCTGCGTGACATTACCTATCATATGACTTCACACTCCGAGTGGCGTTTCATTTTGTATGGCGTTTCAATTTTCATATGGCGTTTCGAATTTCATGAGGTTTTCTACATTTCATATGACATGATGCATTGCGCGTTGTGAAATCGCGTGAAATGGCATGTGAAATCATTTAACCCTCTACAAAAAGTACAATTGTAATATAGACACAAACGACGCTCCATACCCTTAAAGACTCATTCGAGAATCTCAGTTGCATCAAGTGTGTTTACTATATAGCTGGCGCAAAGTAATGTGCTTTCGAGACAGACAAAATTTGGTTGTTTGAAGGCGGTATTTCCTTTTTCAGGAAACCGAGGTTGTGGGATTTGGATACTGGACGGTGCCAAGCCAGTGATTCACACCAACCGCATCAAAGATTCTGGAGACTCTGGCATCGCCTTCGTTAGCAACAGTGACCTTGACCACGATTCGCAGCAGCTTCATGCTCAGTTTTTGCAACAAGAACAACACCAGGTTTTTATAATTGCCTTGAATTATTTTGACACCCATAGCAGTGCGCGCCACATAGTCTCTCTTTTTCTGCTTTCTAGTGTTATTAGTGCTGTGCCACACGCGTGGTGTTTACAGTGGCTCCTGAAGCGTAAAAAGTCTTGCGCTAGCCTAGATGGTATTTCGTTCTCAGGCGCCTAACATGTTTATACCTTCAACTGTTATTGGCCAATTAGGTCAGAAGCCACTATGCTAGAGTCAATGAGACGTGCCTTTAAACATTTGCGTCATTTGAGATCTATCCACTGAAAATGTGTCGCAGCGTAAAATATTACTTACTTTTTTGCGTAACTGCTAATTGTCTGGATGGCTTCTATTGACCAATAAATGTCTTCCCTTGTTTAGTATTATAGTTTTTGAATGTTTCTCAAGAAGAAGGCCTTCAAATATTTCTGTTTTTTAAAGGAAATCGGAGAAGTTGTTGAGAGCAGCGACGAGGAGGAATTTGTCCCTCCAATCAACGATTTTGAGGAGCCGGAGTCACGTTTCGTACTCGGTTAGTATTTTTGCTTGCTTTCCCATTAGTTGCCATTATTGATAGCACTTCCAATTGTTTGTTCATAGGTGGACTTGATTTATTCGATGTATCTCAAGTATAGTTCAGTTGTACATAAATTGCATTTACGTTTTAGTTTCTAGGCCAGACAAGAAATTGCCCCAAGTCGAGTTCAATAAGGTAACAAAGAACCGTGGACATGGATTGCTGTATGGCGGCAGCGACGGAGTTGTTGCTTCGCGCAACACCATAAGCTATAATATGAAACACGGGGTCTTGTTAACAAGGCCAGCTGAAATATCACTGCAGGACAATAACATAACATTCAACAACCATTCTGGTATTTGTGTGTTGCTCGGTGTATGTTGCACGATACAGGGGAATGGCATATACCACAACAAAGAACATGGTATCCAAACTGCTGGCGTTGGAATAATTAAAGAAAATGACATCTTTGGTCATAAAATGGCTGCTGTTCACATTAAGATGCAGGGAGACCCCCACGTAACGAGAAATCGACTGCAAGGTATCCAACAAGAATGCGTGTACGTGGAGGACAACACGCGGGGTTTGATAGAGCAAAATGAGATTCACCACTACAGCTTCGTCAATCCAATTTACTACCATCAGCACAGTCAAGTTCAAATTGCTAACAACAAATTTCATGTTTTGATAAAGCAAGATAATGACGGCCTAGAGACTGCAATCGACTTGGAGTATCTTAATCTAAGCAATCCTTCGCCAAGGCCAATCATGAATAATGATAGCGAGAACAGAGGACCGTTCTTTTCCAGTCCAAATCACGAGAAGAGAAGAGTAGACATGCGTAGAAATGTTGCTATCAGTGCTTTGTGCTCTATTTTGTAACCTCTAAAGGGTTCCTTTCAAAGGCTTCTCGCAACCTCGAGATTGATTTAAGCTCTTCATAAGTACAGATTTTTATATTCTCACATGCATCAGACCTTCAGCGTAACCGCTTACCAATGTTTATAATCAGGGTCTTGTGTTTTGTATTGGCTTTCGGACGACACTGCAATGTTTACAAATATACTTTTGACAAAATTGCACCTTCCAACTGAGTGCGAAGTTTTGAAACCTCTAAATCAATGGCCAATAACACGATGCTTTTCCATCCCTAAAAAAACTTCACCAGCTGCAGTACTCTCAACTTACCAAGAAGCTGTTTAAGTGTGCGTATTCAATAATGTCGGGAAATGCTCAGGTTATTCACAATAAGTCAATTACTGGAAGATATAAGTAGTGGTGGACACTTGGTCAAATAATGGGGGCAAGTCTATTGTTTCGGTAAGGTGATGTCACATTTTTCCATTGTTTTAAAACAAATGACCATTTCTTCCAATATATTGGAAGGCAACTGCCTCTACGCCCCCCTCTCCCCAGGTGGCCGCTACTGGATATAAGTTTTAAGAGCTTAAAGGCTTTGACAAGTTGAAGAAAGTTACCTGATCTATAAAAATATGACAATGCAGCTCAATTGAAGGAAATAAATTTCCGCGTTTCCGACTGTGTTCACTTGAGACCGGTTGAATTTGGAACGGTACTAAAATAGGTACGGGTGGGCTAGCAACGGGTTTATCTGTTCCAAACAACAATTGAGTCTGGTTTTTAGACACTGGAGTTTCATCATGCGCCCAGGTACCCCCATTTTTCCGAAGTGATTTCAGAACCGCTGAACGTGGATGCGGTCAAGTATCAATAATTCTTTCTAAAAAAATTGGGATTGGTTCGGAATGGTACCAAATTGTCACAAATGTCTTGTGTAAATGCAGGCTCGTCTACTGTTCGGACACACAATCTTCTTTTCACATTGGCATGTGGTGCAAAATTGACATGCGCAAAAATGTGTGTCAAATCGATGCTTTTGCGGTATTAGGTATGAGGCATGAAAAGAATTAAAGTTGAGACAGCATAGTGCTTGTCAGTTGCTTGATTCTGACTAAAGGTTCTCTTGTGAAATCATCTTGCTGAAGATCTTCCAAACATTGCTATTGTCACCCCGATTTATAAAAATGATGCTTTAGTGCTTTTAATGTAGATATTCGTTTAAAACGTTATTTAATATTTTTAGCTTATTTAAAAAAAAGGAATGATACTTTCCTTTAATTTTTTACATAAATTGTCGAGCTTGTGTGGATTTTGTTAACGAAAACCTCTGGCCCTGTTATGCGTGATGGCTGCTCGGTAACTACAAGCTACCCTGGATTTTAACTGTGTTTCACCCTCTTTCTGTACGGTTTAGAATCAGTATGTGGTTCTAACGTAGTGGCTTGTCGGATTCCCATACAGCAAACCTATAAATGTGTCTTACGGTGTTTTAAACATTTGGAAAGAATTTTTCGGGGTGGGGATGTTAACGTGGGTATTTTAGATGCTATTTGTCTGTTTATGCCTTTAAGCAGAAAATGATGAATAGAAATGTCAGTAAATCGTCAAATATTCGTTAACTTTACAAGCTTTAACAGTTATTGTTCCCTTGTTTGGAATTGTGTAGGACAGTCCGTGCATTAGTGCACTAGTATCTTCCCGATCGAAAATTTATCAAGAAGCATGGTTTTTTGGAGGGACGTGTTTTGATTGGAGGACTCTTCAAGAGCTTGCAGGAGCTGTATTTAAATCTGCTATTACCAAAACGCAGATATGCAATTTCATTCTAACTTGGCTGTTAGAGGATTGCATACACTTTTGTTTAATTAGCGATTTCCCACCAAAATGGCGTTTGAATAAAATTGAAATGTTGTATGCATAATTGTAAATATTCGCTTTTGTGATTGAATTTTCGTATTAAGGTAGCGTGCTTTCTTCCACGTCAGTTTCTCCTGTTGTGCAATGATAGGAAATTGCTACTGTGGTAACTTACACGGATAATTCCTTGAATTTTTAGAAAAGATAAAATGTAGTCCGCCTTCTAATGCAAGTAATTTTCTTGTCTTCATCTGTATTGTTACAAAAGTCGTCGATAATTACCCCCGAACCCCTTTTAGGCCGCCAATGCTTTAGACTTTGGTTAGCATACGGTAAAATCTAAATATAAAGAGCGAGAAAATAAGAAAAAGAACTTTGGGGAAAAGCTAAGATTAGCAGATTGTCATCAGAGATTGTGTTTTTGTATGGACGGATCAGGTGGTCGAGGTCTTGCATGAAAACATGAAGGCCTACGCGAATTTTCGTCTTCGGCATCCATCTTCGATCATTGCTTGTGATAAAATGTGGACCAATTACGGATTTAACCATTTACACGAGGACAGAGACGTATCAGATTGGTTTAATGCCACATTAAAAGCATTTCTTGCCTTTTTCGAAAGTCAGCGGTTTCTTCACTATTGCTTCGAGTACTGGAGTTTTCTAATTTTTTTTCGATTTCCCGGTACTCGCGCTTTTCTAGCGAGATTTTACGATTCTTTGGTCTGGTCCTGCTGGTATCGACCAAAATAACATCGAATTGTTGAGTTAACGATAAACTTTGAAATGTTCACAGATTAACTGATGACCCTTATGGTAATGAATCCTGATATGCCAAGCCAAGTTCCGGGACTAAAAACTGCGCATGCCTCAAAACATACTTCATGGAAACGAGGCTAGATATCAAAAACGTTATTTCGACGACTCTTACCCGATTGGGTGCTACGATTCTTAACCGATAATAGTCTCGAAATATTGAAATAGTGACTTACTACACATAATATGCGTTTATGCTTCTTAAGGGGCTAGGGTGGGGGGTCGAATGATGATGAATACCACTTTTGCAAGTTCACGAGATCTTCGTCCTAAATTTCCAACAGGTTGTGATAGTGAGTTTTTTCAATTAGTGTGTGTATTTCTTTGCAAAACCCAGCTGTATTCTTAAGTATCGTTTTAGCGCCTGTATCATTAAACTGCACAACACAATTATTATGAGAGGCAGTTTCGGGGTAGAGAGGGGTAGGTTCGGAGTTAGGTAAAATTTGTTAAGTGAAGTGAAGAAAGGAAAAAATTGCAAATAAGACGTTCAAGGGTGGGCGGAAAATGCATCTTTATATCAGCAATGTTGATCTGGACCAAAAAAGATCCGGGGAAGTATTCAAAGGTTGTTTTTAAATTTAGCCCCTTAGTTTGAAATAGTTTGCTTAGAGCAGCTGATCCTAATCCTGATTGGATTAAACCCAGGTAAAAGTAGAAGAAAAGACTGGATAGCAACAAAAACAACCAACGTCTGTACGGGATGCCGCAAAGAATCATTTTAAAATTAACTTACATCGACTGTTTGCAAAGGCAAATGCCTTCTCGTTCTGGCACCCGCGTAGTAGAGTAAAAGTTCTTGCACCTTCCCATTGGCCCCCACTATTTCTATGAAATGATGTCTCTGAAGATAAGTAGTTCCCAATTACCGACAAGCTAAAATCTTAACTTCAACTTTACCTTCAGAATTACCTTCAAAAGTAGCCCACACTCCCTACCTTGGTAGGCCCTTAGTATATTTATTGTGCAAAAATCATTTCGATTTAGCTTGAGATTTCGAGCTGTGTAATAGTAATCATTGACAGCCACATCAAAATTGGCAGGAGAGAAAAATTGGTACAGCGCATCCTCGCTTAAATTCATTTAAGCCAAAAATTCGCATAATCGAGGACGGAATTTGGTTTCACCAATATGGCTTGTTTTCGTTAAATTTGATGAAAAATACGCTGCCGTCATGCCAAATGGCAAAAATAAAGACGAGTAAAAACAATAATGGACATGCACCGTTTACCGATTATAGGTGATACATTAAGTAAAAACAATCCGGTGGCAAAAATTTCGGTGGATTAATTTTCCGTGGGAAAATTTCTGTCATATTTTTAAAAAAAACTTTCAAAGCTTCGGTGGAAAGAAAATATTTTGGTGAGTACAGAAATGAAATTCTTTTTGTAAGTTATTTCTAGATTCAACATAAAAACATCTTGAGCATAATCATTAAAGTTACGAAAAAGAATATTTTTGATGGCAGTCCAATAAAGGGAACTGAAAAGAAAACAAGAATGCCATAAACTCTTTTTTAGAGGAGGTCTTTTTCATTTAATTTTCATAACCCATGGCAGGCCCGTAGCCAAGGGTGCCATAGGGTGGCAATGCCATCCCTGGAGGAAAGAATATCAGCTTACTGGCACCCCGATAATTCTGTCTCAAAATCTTTTTAATGGGCTTCTTTGTCTTTTTCATTTCATTTCCATAACCCATGGCAGGCCCGTAGCCAAGGGGTGCCATAGGGTGGCAATGCCATCCCTGGAGGAAAGAATATCAGCTTACTGGCACCCCGATAATTCTGTCTCAAAATCTTTTTAATGGGCTTCTTTGTCTTTTACATTTCATTTTCATAACCATGGCAGGCCCGTAGCCAAGGGGTGCCGTAGGGTGGCAATGCCATCCCTGGAGGAAAGAATATCAGCTTACTGGCACCCCGATAATTCTGTCTCAAAATCTTTTTAATGGGCTTCTTTGTCGTTTTCATTTCATTTTCATAACCCATGGCAAGCCTGTAGCCAAGGGGTGGCATAGGGTGGCAATGCCATCCCTGGAGGAAAGAATATCAGCTTACTGGCACCCCGATAATTCTGTCTCAAAATCTTTTTAATGGGCTTCTTTGTCTTTTACATTTCATTTATATAACCAATGGCAGGCCCGTAGCCAAGGGGTGCCGTAGGGTGGCAATGCCATCCCTGGAGGAAAGAATATCAGCTTACTGGCACCCCGATAATTCTGTCTCAAAATCTTTTTAATGGGTATCTTTGTCTTTTACATTTCATTTTCATAACCCATGGCAGGCCCGTAGCCAAGGGGTGGCATAGGGTGGCAATGCCATCCCTGGAGGAAAGAATATCAGCTTACTGGCACCCCGATAATTCTGTCTCAAAATCTTTTTAATGGGCTTCTTTGTCTTTTACATTTCATTTTCATAACCCATGGCAGGCCCGTAGCCAAGGGGTGCCGTAGGGTGGCAATGCCATCCCTGGAGGAAAGAATATCAGCTTACTGGCACCCCGATAATTCTGTCTCAAAATCTTTTTAATGGGCTTCTTTGTCTTTTTCATTTAATTTCCATAACCCATGGCAGGCCCGTAGCCAAGGGGTGGCATAGGGTGGCAATGCCATCCCTGGAGGAAAGAATATCAGCTTACTGGCACCCCGATAATTCTGTCTCAAAATCTTTTTAATGGGCTTCTTTGTCTTTTCATTTCATTTTCATAACCCATTTGAGACAAGATTGCATTGATTGAAGGAAAATTGTTTTTAGGGGCACTAACTACCCATGTAGGACTTAAGATTGTGCTTTGCTTTCACAGAAAATTTCGCTGCTAAGCAACAAACTAGGAACTACTTGGGCGCTTCTCAGAAAAATTGCTGAGACGTCTGCCGGTGTACTAAACAAGGATGAAAAATGTTTTGAGCCAATCAGACTTTTTTTTACAATTTGAACCAGCCAATGGTATAGCGTCAAAGACAATAGAAATCTGAAGAGAAAATAGCATCGAATCAGCCGCAACAGTAACGCTCGCACCTCCTATCCAAAGCTGTGGGGAAAAACCGGCGCCACAAAAAGTTAACGCTGAACGCGAAAATTGTCATTATTGAAGTGCTTCATACAATTATGCATAGCAAAGGAGTATATCTAAAACTTTGTCGTCCCCATTTTTAAAATTCGGTCGTTAACCAGAGATAAGCGATGAAACGTTTAGCCCATTATTGCCCTGATTGAATCTGCTCACGATGGTTATGGTTGGTTGTACTCCAAGAAAACGGCATCATGTCATTTTATTGAATAACAGGTCATTTTTCACTTACAAATATGTACGTCGTATATTTTAAAGTAAGACAGAGATATAATTATCAAACTCGGTTTTTTTGCCTTTTTCTTGCATGTTCTTAACTCTAAGACAGTCCCTCAACTTTCTTTCATAGAGTGCGTTCTAGAGTGTTGCGTACAGAAGAAATGCATATCTTGAGAAAATAGCGGCATTGTTGCAAATATTTATTCCAAAATCATATGCCTAGTCCTGATTTTGGTACTTTTGTAGGTGCAAGCAATGGTTCTTCTCATGGCAAAGTTTTGTAGGACGATTAGTCAACGAATTTTGTGTACACGAACTGATTAACGTGGCTTCAAAACGTTAGAAAGTAAACGATAAAATGTTTTCTCTAAGCCCGCAACGGCCCACGCTATCTGTCTCCACTGAAATAAATCCCCTGGTTTATTAGTGACTTATTTACCGATTCATTTAAGAAAAAACTCAGAAGTACTTACCAAGTGCTTGAGGGCTCAAGAATTGTATTCTTATTTACTGTTATCAGTGAAAATGTAGAGTGTATTTGTTGAGTGAAAGGTTCAAGGTTTCCCAACTTTGCATGTCGATATATTCAAACATTTTTGCAAAGTTTCATTAAAAAGAGTTGGAGAATGTGCCACTTTACAAAATATAAGCTCAATAATGACCCTGATCGTTGTATTTCAATAAGATAATGAGAACTCAAAGAAAGTAGCTTGTTATATCTCAATAGCTTTTTCAGTTAAAGGTTTGATTCAAACTTTTGCAGGTCTTGCAGAGGTTTCAAATTTTACTTCACAAATTTTTAAAAAAGCAATTTTTGAAATAACAAGTAAAATGTGCACAAATTTTCAAGGTTTATTTTCTGCTTAAATTTTATCAACGATCTGTAAAAAGATTGTAAAATGACCTGTTTTTCAATAAAATGACATGATGCCGTTTTCTTGGAGTACAACCAACCATAACCATCGTGAGCAGATTCAATCAGGGCAATAATGGGCTAAACGTTTCATCGCTTATCTCTGGTTAACGACCGAATTTTAAAAATGGGGATGACAAAGTTTTAGATATACTCCTTTGCTATGCATAATTGTATGAAGCACTTCAATAATGACAATTTTCGCGTTCAGCGT